TGGATGACAGGGAAATGCTCTTGAGGTTGGAGACCACCTGGGCCTGGTCCTCCTTGTTCTGTGGGCGGAAGGAACACGCTACATTGTAATCTAGACATGTTATGCCGGCGGAAGGAACACGCTACATTGTAATCTAGACATGTTATGCCGGCGGAAGGAACACGCTACATTGTAATCTAGACATGTTATGCCGGCGGAACACGCTACATTGTAATCTAGACATGTTATGCCGGAGGGACTCTTCCATCACGTGGACCTCCAGGGTGCTAGGTGGTCATGTGACACCATGACCTGCAGCCCATCCCCCGGAGACCGCCAACATTCCCCATCAGCTCAATAATGACATCATAACACAGAGGCGGCCCCACCACCTCACCGGAGGGACCCCCCATTACCAGAGGACCCCCCATTACCGGAGGACCCCCCATTACCGGAGGACCCCCCATTACCAGAGGACCCCCCATTACCAGAGGACCCCCCATTAACCAAGGGAGGAGGAGGAGGAGGAGGACCAAGGGAGGAGGAGAAGGAGGAGGAGGACCAAGGGAGGAGGAGGAGGAGGAGGACCAAGGGAGGAGGAGAAGGAGGAGGAGGACCAAGGGAGGAGGAGGAGGAGGAGGACCAAGGGAGGAGGAGAAGGAGGAGGAGGACCAAGGGAGGAGGAGGAGGAGGAGGACCAAGGGAGGAGGAGAAGGAGGAGGAGGACCAAGGGAGGAGGAGGAGGAGGAGGACCAAGGGAGGAGGAGAAGGAGGAGGAGGACCAAGGGAGGAGGAGGAGGAGGAGGACCAAGGGAGGAGGAGAAGGAGGAGGAGGACCAAGGGAGGAGGAGGAGGAGGAGGACCAAGGGAGGAGGAGAAGGAGGAGGAGGACCAAGGGAGGAGGAGGAGGAGGAGGACCAAGGGAGGAGGAGAAGGAGGAGGAGGACCAAGGGAGGAGGAGGAGGAGGAGGACCAAGGGAGGAGGAGAAGGAGGAGGAGGACCAAGGGAGGAGGAGGAGGAGGAGGACCAAGGGAGGAGGAGAAGGAGGAGGAGGACCAAGGGAGGAGGAGGAGGAGGAGGACCAAGGGAGGAGGAGAAGGAGGAGGAGGACCAAGGGAGGAGGAGGAGGAGGAGGACCAAGGGAGGAGGAGAAGGAGGAGGAGGACCAAGGGAGGAGGAGGAGGAGGAGGACCAAGGGAGGAGGAGAAGGAGGAGGAGGACCAAGGGAGGAGGAGGAGGAGGAGGACCAAGGGAGGAGGAGAAGGAGGAGGAGGACCAAGGGAGGAGGAGGAGGAGGAGGACCAAGGGAGGAGGAGAAGGAGGAGGAGGACCAAGGGAGGAGGAGGAGGAGGAGGACCAAGGGAGGAGGAGAAGGAGGAGGAGGACCAAGGGAGGAGGAGGAGGAGGAGGACCAAGGGAGGAGGAGAAGGAGGAGGAGGACCAAGGGAGGAGGAGGAGGAGGAGGACCAAGGGAGGAGGAGAAGGAGGAGGAGGACCAAGGGAGGAGGAGGAGGAGGAGGACCAAGGGAGGAGGAGAAGGAGGAGGAGGACCAAGGGAGGAGGAGGAGGAGGAGGACCAAGGGAGGAGGAGAAGGAGGAGGAGGACCAAGGGAGGAGGAGGAGGAGGAGGACCAAGGGAGGAGGAGAAGGAGGAGGAGGACCAAGGGAGGAGGAGGAGGAGGAGGACCAAGGGAGGAGGAGAAGGAGGAGGAGGACCAAGGGAGGAGGAGGAGGAGGAGGACCAAGGGAGGAGGAGAAGGAGGAGGAGGACCAAGGGAGGAGGAGGAGGAGGAGGACCAAGGGAGGAGGAGAAGGAGGAGGAGGACCAAGGGAGGAGGAGGAGGAGGAGGACCAAGGGAGGAGGAGAAGGAGGAGGAGGACCAAGGGAGGAGGAGGAGGAGGAGGACCAAGGGAGGAGGAGAAGGAGGAGGAGGACCAAGGGAGGAGGAGGAGGAGGAGGACCAAGGGAGGAGTAGGAGGAGGACCAAGGGAGGAGGAAATACTCACAGATGTAGCCAGGAGCTTCTTACTGGCCTCTCCAATGCCCTTTATAGCCGCGTCCACATCTCTCTGCCCCGGCAAGCAATTGACACAGCGGCTCAGAGCCTGAGACACGGCCTTGGCCACCTGCGGAGACAGAATGAGGTCGAGTCACCAAATCACCAAACATACATCACACGTGGAGGGGTCAGCGTGTACAAAAGACAATATGCATGGAGAAATCTCCGAACACGACTCATCATCGCTCGGCACCGGTCTTCCAGCACTCGGCATCGCTCGGCGCCGGTCTTCCAGCACTCGGCATCGCTCGGCGCCGGTCTTCCAGCACTCGGCATCGCTCGGCGCCGGTCTTCCAGCACTCGGCGCCGGTCTTCCAGCACTCGGCGCCGGTCTTCCAGCACTCGGCGCCGGTCTTCCAGCACTCGGCGCCGGTCTTCCAGCACTCGGCGCCGGTCTTCCAGCACTCGGCGCCGGTCTTCCAGCACTCGGCGCCGGTCTTCCAGCACTCGGCGCCGGTCTTCCAGCACTCGGCGCCGGTCTTCCAGCACTCGGCGCCGGTCTTCCAGCACTCGGCGCCGGTCTTCCAGCACTCGGCGCCGGTCTTCCAGCACTCGGCGCCGGTCTTCCAGCACTCGGCGCCGGTCTTCCAGCACTCGGCGCCGGTCTTCCAGCACTCGGCGCCGGTCTTCCAGCACTCGGCGCCGGTCTTCCAGCACTCGGCGCCGGTCTTCCAGCACTCGGCGCCGGTCTTCCAGCACTCGGCGCCGGTCTTCCAGCACTCGGCGCCGGTCTTCCAGCACTCGGCGCCGGTCTTCCAGCACTCGGCGCCGGTCTTCCAGCACTCGGCGCCGGTCTTCCAGCACTCGGCGCCGGTCTTCCAGCACTCGGCGCCGGTCTTCCAGCACTCGGCGCCGGTCTTCCAGCACTCGGCGCCGGTCTTCCAGCACTCGGCGCCGGTCTTCCAGCACTCGGCGCCGGTCTTCCAGCACTCGGCGCCGGTCTTCCAGCACTCGGCGCCGGTCTTCCAGCACTCGGCGCCGGTCTTCCAGCACTCGGCGCCGGTCTTCCAGCACTCGGCGCCGGTCTTCCAGCACTCGGCGCCGGTCTTCCAGCACTCGGCGCCGGTCTTCCAGCACTCGGCGCCGGTCTTCCAGCACTCGGCGCCGGTCTTCCAGCACTCGGCGCCGGTCTTCCAGCACTCGGCGCCGGTCTTCCAGCACTCGGCGCCGGTCTTCCAGCACTCGGCGCCGGTCTTCCAGCACTCGGCGCCGGTCTTCCAGCACTCGGCGCCGGTCTTCCAGCACTCGGCGCCGGTCTTCCAGCACTCGGCGCCGGTCTTCCAGCACTCGGCGCCGGTCTTCCAGCACTCGGCGCCGGTCTTCCAGCACTCGGCGCCGGTCTTCCAGCACTCGGCGCCGGTCTTCCAGCACTCGGCGCCGGTCTTCCAGCACTCGGCGCCGGTCTTCCAGCACTCGGCGCCGGTCTTCCAGCACTCGGCGCCGGTCTTCCAGCACTCGGCGCCGGTCTTCCAGCACTCGGCGCCGGTCTTCCAGCACTCGGCGCCGGTCTTCCAGCACTCGGCGCCGGTCTTCCAGCACTCGGCGCCGGTCTTCCAGCACTCGGCGCCGGTCTTCCAGCACTCGGCGCCGGTCTTCCAGCACTCGGCGCCGGTCTTCCAGCACTCGGCGCCGGTCTTCCAGCACTCGGCGCCGGTCTTCCAGCACTCGGCGCCGGTCTTCCAGCACTCGGCGCCGGTCTTCCAGCACTCGGCGCCGGTCTTCCAGCACTCGGCGCCGGTCTTCCAGCACTCGGCGCCGGTCTTCCAGCACTCGGCGCCGGTCTTCCAGCACTCGGCGCCGGTCTTCCAGCACTCGGCGCCGGTCTTCCAGCACTCGGCGCCGGTCTTCCAGCACTCGGCGCCGGTCTTCCAGCACTCGGCGCCGGTCTTCCAGCACTCGGCGCCGGTCTTCCAGCACTCGGCGCCGGTCTTCCAGCACTCGGCGCCGGTCTTCCAGCACTCGGCGCCGGTCTTCCAGCACTCGGCGCCGGTCTTCCAGCACTCGGCGCCGGTCTTCCAGCACTCGGCGCCGGTCTTCCAGCACTCGGCGCCGGTCTTCCAGCACTCGGCGCCGGTCTTCCAGCACTCGGCGCCGGTCTTCCAGCACTCGGCGCCGGTCTTCCAGCACTCGGCGCCGGTCTTCCAGCACTCGGCGCCGGTCTTCCAGCACTCGGCGCCGGTCTTCCAGCACTCGGCGCCGGTCTTCCAGCACTCGGCGCCGGTCTTCCAGCACTCGGCGCCGGTCTTCCAGCACTCGGCGCCGGTCTTCCAGCACTCGGCGCCGGTCTTCCAGCACTCGGCGCCGGTCTTCCAGCACTCGGCGCCGGTCTTCCAGCACTCGGCGCCGGTCTTCCAGCACTCGGCGCCGGTCTTCCAGCACTCGGCGCCGGTCTTCCAGCACTCGGCGCCGGTCTTCCAGCACTCGGCGCCGGTCTTCCAGCACTCGGCGCCGGTCTTCCAGCACTCGGCGCCGGTCTTCCAGCACTCGGCGCCGGTCTTCCAGCACTCGGCGCCGGTCTTCCAGCACTCGGCGCCGGTCTTCCAGCACTCGGCGCCGGTCTTCCAGCACTCGGCGCCGGTCTTCCAGCACTCGGCGCCGGTCTTCCAGCACTCGGCGCCGGTCTTCCAGCACTCGGCGCCGGTCTTCCAGCACTCGGCGCCGGTCTTCCAGCACTCGGCGCCGGTCTTCCAGCACTCGGCGCCGGTCTTCCAGCACTCGGCGCCGGTCTTCCAGCACTCGGCGCCGGTCTTCCAGCACTCGGCGCCGGTCTTCCAGCACTCGGCGCCGGTCTTCCAGCACTCGGCGCCGGTCTTCCAGCACTCGGCGCCGGTCTTCCAGCACTCGGCGCCGGTCTTCCAGCACTCGGCGCCGGTCTTCCAGCACTCGGCGCCGGTCTTCCAGCACTCGGCGCCGGTCTTCCAGCACTCGGCGCCGGTCTTCCAGCACTCGGCGCCGGTCTTCCAGCACTCGGCGCCGGTCTTCCAGCACTCGGCGCCGGTCTTCCAGCACTCGGCGCCGGTCTTCCAGCACTCGGCGCCGGTCTTCCAGCACTCGGCGCCGGTCTTCCAGCACTCGGCGCCGGTCTTCCAGCACTCGGCGCCGGTCTTCCAGCACTCGGCGCCGGTCTTCCAGCACTCGGCGCCGGTCTTCCAGCACTCGGCGCCGGTCTTCCAGCACTCGGCGCCGGTCTTCCAGCACTCGGCGCCGGTCTTCCAGCACTCGGCGCCGGTCTTCCAGCACTCGGCGCCGGTCTTCCAGCACTCGGCGCCGGTCTTCCAGCACTCGGCGCCGGTCTTCCAGCACTCGGCGCCGGTCTTACTCGGCATCGCTCGGCACCGGTGTTCCAGCACTCGGCACGCAGGGGGTAAAGGGAAAACAACATGTACAGTAGAGGTGAAGCCATAAAGAGAAGGAACCGCAGACCTGAGCCAATCTCTGTTGGGCTTCGGCATCGGCCGGCTTTCCCGCCGCTCTTTTAGCTTCTTCTATCAGATTTCCAGCCTTGTCCATGACATCTCCGGCACACTCCAACATGGCGTTCTGCACTGCCGGGTCTCCCGATGTGGCAGCCACTCCCCGGCTGGCCTGAGCCAGAGAACGAAGTGCCTGCGCCACGTCGCGGGCAGCACGCCCTGCCAAAGGGGGACGAGATGATTGGGTTATAGAGACCGTGCAGGTAAGTCAGGCACACTGAAAGGTGATCATAGAAAGGGGCGGAGACAAGGACGTCACCACATAGATCAGAGAAAGGGGCGGAGACAAGGACGTCACCACATAGATCAGAGAAAGGGGCGGAGACAAGGACGTCACCACATAGATCAGAGAAAGGGGCGGAGACAAGGACATCACCACATAGATCAGAGAAAGGGGCGGAGACAAGGACGTCACCACATAGATCAGAGAAAGGGGCGGAGACAAGGACGTCACCACATAGATCAGAGAAAGGGGCGGAGACAAGGACGTCACCACATAGATCAGAGAAAGGGGCGGAGACAAGGACGTCACCACATAGATCAGAGAAAGGGGCGGAGACAAGGACGTCACCACATAGATCAGAGAAAGGGGCGGAGACAAGGACGTCACCACATAGATCAGAGAAAGGGGCGGAGACAAGGACGTCACCACATAGATCAGAGAAAGGGGCGGAGACAAGGACGTCACCACATAGATCAGAGAAAGGGGCGGAGACAAGGACGTCACCACATAGATCAGAGAAAGGGGCGGAGACAAGGACGTCACCACATAGATCAGAGAAAGGGGCGGAGACAAGGACGTCACCACATAGATCAGAGAAAGGGGCGGAGACAAGGACGTCACCACATAGATCAGAGAAAGGGGCGGAGACAAGGACGTCACCACATAGATCAGAGAAAGGGGCGGAGACAAGGACGTCACCACATAGATCAGAGAAAGGGGCGGAGACAAGGACGTCACCACATAGATCAGAGAAAGGGGCGGAGACAAGGACGTCACCACATAGATCAGAGAAAGGGGCGGAGACAAGGACGTCACCACATAGATCAGAGAAAGGGGCGGAGACAAGGACGTCACCACATAGATCAGAGAAAGGGGCGGAGACAAGGACGTCACCACATAGATCAGAGAAAGGGGCGGAGACAAGGACGTCACCACATAGATCAGAGAAAGGGGCGGAGACAAGGACGTCACCACATAGATCAGAGAAAGGGGCGGAGACAAGGACGTCACCACATAGATCAGAGAAAGGGGCGGAGACAAGGACGTCACCACATAGATCAGAGAAAGGGGCGGAGACAAGGACGTCACCACATAGATCAGAGAAAGGGGCGGAGACAAGGACGTCACCACATAGATCAGAGAAAGGGGCGGAGACAAGGACGTCACCACATAGATCAGAGAAAGGGGCGGAGACAAGGACGTCACCACATAGATCAGAGAAAGGGGCGGAGACAAGGACGTCACCACATAGATCAGAGAAAGGGGCGGAGACAAGGACGTCACCACATAGATCAGAGAAAGGGGCGGAGACAAGGACGTCACCACATAGATCAGAGAAAGGGGCGGAGACAAGGACGTCACCACATAGATCAGAGAAAGGGGCGGAGACAAGGACGTCACCACATAGATCAGAGAAAGGGGCGGAGACAAGGACGTCACCACATAGATCAGAGAAAGGGGCGGAGACAAGGACGTCACCACATAGATCAGAGAAAGGGGCGGAGACAAGGACGTCACCACATAGATCAGAGAAAGGGGCGGAGACAAGGACGTCACCACATAGATCAGAGAAAGGGGCGGAGACAAGGACGTCACCACATAGATCAGAGAAAGGGGCGGAGACAAGGACGTCACCACATAGATCAGAGAAAGGGGCGGAGACAAGGACGTCACCACATAGATCAGAGAAAGGGGCGGAGACAAGGACGTCACCACATAGATCAGAGAAAGGGGCGGAGACAAGGACGTCACCACATAGATCAGAGAAAGGGGCGGAGACAAGGACGTCACCACATAGATCAGAGAAAGGGGCGGAGACAAGGACGTCACCACATAGATCAGAGAAAGGGGCGGAGACAAGGACGTCACCACATAGATCAGAGAAAGGGGCGGAGACAAGGACGTCACCACATAGATCAGAGAAAGGGGCGGAGACAAGGACGTCACCACATAGATCAGAGAAAGGGGCGGAGACAAGGACATCACCACATAGATCAGAGAAAGGGGCGGAGACAAGGACGTCACCACATAGATCAGAGAAAGGGGCGGAGACAAGGACGTCACCACAACCTACCTGTGTAGTTCTCATTGCCGTGGACAATCTCACCGAGAAGTTGGGCGATGGCGGAACTCACGGCCTTTGTGCTGCTTCCCAGGTCCTGTGAGCACTTCTCCACCTGTGAGGGAAGTACAATGGTCACCATGCCGACACCTACACCGGTCTACACACATGGTCCCTACAGCACCCAATAGGGAGGAAGCGTCACCATTTCTCCCGGCAGTGGCCTCAGTTTGCCGTCTCGGGCTGCTGCTTTGGCCTCCTTCAAGTCTTGTTCCAGGGAGCGGATGAGGTTCAGCGCCGAGTCAATCTCCAGAGGTCCACATGCTTCCTGTGCCTGGTGGGGACAAATCAGAACCATAGCAGAACCATATCCAAACCGAGACCCGACCCAACACCCAAACAGAACCATACAGCTCCATATCCAGACCGAGACCTGACCCAACACCCGAGCAGAACCATACAGCTCCATATCCAGACTGAGGCCTGACCCAACACCCAAACAGAACCGTACAGCTCCATATCCAGACTGAGACCTGACCCAACACCCAAACAGAACCATATCCAGACCGAGACCTGACCCAACACCCAAACAGAACCGTACAGCTCCATATGCAGACTGAGACCTGAAGATATATGCTCCTCGCCACACACACACGCCCTGTGGGCCCCGCAGTGTGTATAGGGCCACAACGTACCTTTTGTGCAGCAGTGCGGAGCTCGGCCAGAGCGGCAGCCAAGTTCTTTGTGCATTGACCGAGCTGCATGGCAGAAGCCGGATCCGAGACCGTCGGGACAGCCGCCTTCCCGGCAGCCACCAATTTACCGCCCGGCTGTAATGAGAGAAAGCACCGGACTGGTGACATGGTACATGCGTCTCCCCTCAACCAGCCGCGCAGCGCAGGAGACACACGCAGCGCAGGAGATACACGCAGCGCAGGACCGGACGGGTGACATGGTACATGCGTCTCCCCTCAACCAGCCGCGCAGCGCAGGAGACACACGCAGCGCAGGAGATACACGCAGCGCAGGACCGGACGGGTGACATGGTACATGCGTCTCCACTCAACCAGCCGCGCAGCGCAGGAGACACGCAGCGCAGGAGATACACGCAGCGCAGGACCGGACGGGTGACATGGTACATGCGTCTCCACTCAACCAGCCGCGCAGCGCAGGAGACACGCGGCGCAGGAGACGCACGCAGCGCAGGACCGGACTGGTGACATGGTACATGCGTCTCCACTCAACCAGCCGCGCAGCGCAGGAGACACGCAGCGCAGGAGACACACGCAGCGCAGGAGACACACGCAGCGCAGGACCGGACTGGTGACATGGTACATGCGTCTCCACTCAACCAGCCGCGCAGCGCAGGAGACACGCGGCGCAGGACCGGACTGGTGACATGGTCCATGCGTCTCCACTCAACCAGACACGCAGCGCAGGAGACACGCGGCGCAGGAGACAATGACACGGCACACAAGGCGGGGTAACATCAGGTGGCAGCGATACGGCACCTGCAGGAAGTTCTGGCTGGCACTGATGAGTGACAGTTGGGCACTCGGACTCTCCGGCTGTGATTGGCTCCCTCGGACTCCCTGAACCAACGATGGGATGTGATCGGCCACAAGCTGCCGGACACAAAGATAACCGAACGTTACAACACGCAAAGACTCCCCTCCCCGTGACCTCCAATATGGAGGCTACCCAACAATGACCACATACATGCAGAGACCGCGCAGACCTGACCACATACATGCAGAGACCGCGCAGACCTGACCACATACATGCAGAGACCGCGCAGACCTGACCACATACATGCAGAGACCGCGCAGACCTGACCACATACATGCAGAGACCGCGCAGACCTGACCACATACATGCAGAGACCGCGCAGACCTGACCACATACATGCAGAGACCGCGCAGACCTGACCACATACATGCAGAGACCGCGCAGACCTGACCACATACATG